AGAACAGCTTTGCCTCAGTACGGAAGGAAAGGTCACCCCTGCTAGATAGAGACCAACTCATGGAATGTCTTCGGAGAGGGAAAAGAAGGCCCGAGTTTTTCGAAGTTCTAGAATCGGAGATGCAGAAGGTAAGTAGGAGATGGGAGGAGGTGAAGGACGAGAGCACGCCCGCCGGCATGTGGGAGGTCTGGGGGGAGGCGGCTAGGCAGGCCCTAGACACCTGCTTCAGGCAGGGCAAGGCCGACTGCGACGAGCAAGTACGGGCCAGGCGCATGTCACTGCTAGCAGAACGACGGGAGTTGCGAGAGAAGATGGTGGACAGTGCAGGGGAGGAGGGGCTTGTGCAGACACAGCAGGAACTGTCGGAGATGTCAGCCCTCTTGAAGAAATTGCGAAGAGATGCGGAAGAGCAAAGACGAGCTCGCCTTGTGCAGGAGATATGGGAAGCCCATCAAAGAAACGATTTCAGCACCATGCACCGACTGCGAATACAACGGTCGGGGGCCAAAAAAGAGGTATTATGCAGCGGCACGGACGTATTGGCCAAAAAGCGAATGGGTGCAGGAACTAGGAAAACCACCATGTGAAGGGGGATTGGGGGCCAGAGAGATTGACTTGGCAGAATATGTGCAGGAACAGCAGCAAAGACTCAATGACCAAACGCCGTTGCCAGAGGATTTGGAGCTCGCAGGCCAAGTTCTCGTCGACAAGAGATGGATGTTGAAGTATTGTAAAAGAGCAGCCAAACGTCGAGCTTGGCCGAAATGGGGGATCCCAGTAGAACTTACGTGGATGATCTTGGACCCCACTACCCACCTTGAGCACCCAGGGCTGCTAAGTAGACAGATCGAAGAGAGGAGGATCAGGGCGGCGGAGAAAAGGAAGGATGAGGAGGACTTGAGCAAATACACATCGCTGCATAAATATCGGGTGGGCAGACGGATCTTGGAACGCATGGGATGGAAGAGTGGGGCGAAGTTAGGCAGATCCGAAGAACCGCTGGACGGCGCAGAGTTGACGATCAATGAGGTTACACCATATTTCGTGGACCGCCCTGCCCAAGCGGGACTAGGTACGACAACAGTGAGAAGACAAGTAGAGGAAGGGGGCTTTCTTTTCCAGCGTTTTTTGGACCAGTTGCTTATGAAGATACGGAGCACACAGGTGACACCACTTTCCTGGCATAGGTCCATTTCTTTCGACGCGGACAAGAACAATGGCAAAGCAGGAATAGGAGGGAAGCGTGTCATGCACGCGTATGACTCCATGAGTATGGCGTGGCACCGGGGGATACACAAAAGGGGCCCACAGCCTGACCATCCCCCATGGGCTCAAGGGGGCCTCGCACATAGAAGTAGAGAAAATTCGATATTATGCCTACAAGCTACACAATGGAGGGCGGGAGAGGCGGGTATGAGCATCGTGCACACTAACTACGATTGCAGCAACGCGTTTGCCAGCACGAAAAGAGGACTATTGGAGGCGACGGCATGGCGGTATGCGACAGAAGCGGATCAGCCTTTTGCCCTAGGAGCAATTCGTAACACTCAGCTAAGCATGCGATGTGCCGACGATTGGTTGCATGCGGAAACGACGGAGGGGGCTCAGATGGGGTTTGCACTGTGTCCGCGACAATTCAATGATGTGTATAACTTGTACGTGGATCAATGGTTGCAGGGGGACAGGAGTAGGGACATTCACCAGACTTGGCACGACACGCACAACCCAGTGACAGGACAAATGCACGACCTGGCAATCAACACTTTCATGGATGACATAACCAGGACACGCACAATACTCCAGGGAGCCAAGGCAGCAGAGGTCACAAAGCAGTTGAACGAAGCAACCGAGAGGCTAGAAACCACGATCGGGCACGGAGGTTGGAAGCTAAACCAGGGGAAGACCAATCACCTCCTATGCTTGAAGGGCCCACAGAGCTACAGCACGACCCGACAGTTGAGACGATCAAACAAGCTGAAAGGAGAAGCTCTGAGAGAGATGAGGGTGCTGGGACCATTCTTGCCATCGGACCAGGGACTCGGAGGAGAGATACAAAAGAGAATCAAGGCCATGCACATTGCGTGGAGACAATGCGGCAGCGTTCGGAGCTCAGACACGCCAGCGGTTATCAAGAGGACGATGTTCATCGCGTTTGTCCTAGGTGCGGGGTTGAGCGGTCTCACTGCCTTTGTCTTATCTCCCTCTCTCACACGAGCCATCGTTGCAGTGATTTGCAAGTATCTGCGCAGAATGTCAGGAGGAAAGATGAGCTGGAAGAAGGAGACAGGGGAAACACGCTGCCACACATCTGCAAGAGTCTTTCGGGAATGGAGAATAGAACCAGCGGCAACGGCACTCAAAACACGACGACTGACATGGCACAAGAACTGGGCCCTTTACCCCACGGAGCATGCAGGCGCACTGGCTGCGGTCTTTGGGGGCTCGGTATTAGACCACGGGAGGGGAGTGCACCGACTTCAGGACAACAAATGGGCCATGCAGTTAAAAGAGGATTTGGATGCACTGGCCAACGCTGATTCGGATACAAAAAGCTGGTACGACGAGAGGATATCGGATTTCGAAATATTCTGCCCAGGAACCTCGGCGTGGAAACACTGGGCGGCCACGGACACCACTGTATTGAGAAGCATAGGAGTAGCAGAACTGGATGCAGTCAGAGGTAACGGGGGAGAGACGGAGGGCGAGGAAGAGGAGGAGAACGATGTTACAAAGCCGTACTGGTGCGATTGTAAGGTACAGACTGCTGAGGAGACGGATGGGGGGACTGTCTTGGTTTGCGGGAAGCGCTTTACTACAATCCAGGCTTTACTAGGACACCGCAGAGAGTATCACACTATTCGGCCAGTGGTTGCCAGTCTTGTAGCAACAAATCAATGCCCGTGGTGTCTTTCGACTTTTGCAGATAAGAGGACAACAATCGACCATGCGACCAGAGCAGCCGACGGCCATGGGATTTGTCACCGCGACCGTAGCAAATGGAGCCGTCCCATTCAGCCGCCACGGTCTCTCTTATGCCGCATTTGTAACCATGAGGCTCAAACATTAGAAGAGTTTCACGGGCACGCTCGGTCGCACCACCCAGGGCCTACATCAGTGCGGGAACCGAAGCAGCAGGGAGCGCACAGCCATGGCAGAAGGCATTGCGTCGGCGCGCACTCCCTGGGGCCTGAAGAGGGCCGCAGAGCGGCGCCCTCACGACGCCAGCCCACGCGCGGCCAAGGACAGCAAGGGCCAGGTGGGCAAGGGCGCAGGACCAGCGAGCAGCGCAGGACCACCAGGGGGCCAACCGCCGCGCAGAGGAGGCGGCCCAAACGCCAACCAAGACGACAGCCACTCGTTCGCCCAGACGATCACTTCGCTGCAGCGCCTGTCGCTGCGGACGGCGCAACAAGCACGGGAGCAAGCGCACCTGGCGACGGACTTTTGGCTGATCCCTGGCTCCTGCTCGCCGTCCAAGGTAGGCCTCGCGGCGGGGCGAGAGTATGCCACAGAGGTGCGGTCAAAATGGAAGCATCACAACATGGGGCCCCCCCTCGTCCGCGTCGCAGTTGCTACGATACAGGAGTTGCGCAACAACGTCCACTCCTGCCTGGAGAAGGAAGGCTACCAGAGGGGGATCCAGTGGGGCATGCAGATCCTCAACCAGTGGCTGCGCCTGGCATTTCACGAGAAGGGGAGAGAGTTCATTCAGGAGACCATAAAAATGTTCAAGATCACGGAGGCGTACAAACCGAAGGGCCAGGAGGACGACGGGAACAGCAAGGTGAAGCTGCAGTATTGCATAAACCCAATGCCGTGCATCCACTTGGCGATGGGGGAAGAATTCATCAAGTACAAGCCAGACGACGGGGACGAGGCCATGCTGACGGAGGACGAGGACAAGGACGAGATCAACGAGTACAGCCCGAACTACATGCGCCAGGCAATGGGCTACATCTTGAAAATGATGGGAGGGCAGTGCGGACAGTCAGTAGGACCGAAGACGGACCTGGAGCGCACGGTAGAGAAGCAGCTCCAGAGCAGGCAATAGCTAGCAGTAGTAGTACCAGCCTGCCCGAGGCCACGCCTGCGCCAGTCTCGCCCTCTGCTAAGGGATCAGATTCGTTGCCGTGCACCCCAGCGCAGCTTGCTGACAGACCACAAGTAGCCGCGCCCCTGGAGGAGAATCTACAAATAACAAGGGATAAAAACTAGCTAAGGAGATCAGCCAGGACCCATCCAGGATGGCCAAGCTAAAAAAGTTAGCAGAAACAAGCGACAAAAGCCAGCCCAAGAAGCTGTACCAGTTAGCATTACAATACAGACGGGAACGACAAAAAGATTTGAAGTACGAAGCCGAAGGTCGAGGAGGTAGAGGAGGACGGAATAGTGGAAGAGAAGGCAACGTACAAAACAAATAGCAGTACGGCGGGCCACAGACGTTTCACCAGAGGGGGGGAACTTACCACTGGGTTCAATTGGGATTACATGTGTTTATGTTGTGTGACTACTACATACATGGGAGAAGACGGCACCTACCTACAGAGGTAATGCGACGACAGGATGGGGATGGGGAGGCGCTTTGCAGGGAGGAGGGTTGCTGCAATAGAGATTGAAGGAGGAGGAGAAGGACAGAAGGAATACATTGCAATAGAGATGCAGAACGGGAAGAAGGGAATGCTGCACTCGGTATTAAACACAACTGGACAGTGCGTTTGTGCAGGTTCCAACGTCGGTGCGCATCGGGTTATCGTAATTGCAGCGTCATTCGTTGTGTCACTGACAATAAAGGGGCCCCGAGGAATTAAGTAGGACTCCAGAGCCCCTGGCCCCATCGTCCGACTACTACACACGACAACGGAGCAGATGGAACGACACTGGAGGACATGATGTGGTATGTACAAAGGGAGGGGCTCCTCCGTAGCACATCTGGCTTAGCAAGAGCACAGAGAGTGGGAAGGCCGCGGACGGTACCACCACCAACGGAGGCAGTGCGAACGATGCCAGAGTCTCTGCCGAAGGTGCCAGAGGTGCCAGAGTATCGAGGAGATGCCGAAGACCCAGAGATTGGAGACTTCAACTACGTGCTGATACTGCAGGAAAAGAACATCAAGCAGTGCCAGAAAATGATGCAAGACGTGAAGAAGAAGTACGAGACGCAGATCGACTACCTGACGGCACAGAAGAGAAAGCTCAACAGTATCTTGCTCAGGTCGCAGATGCTAAACACAAGGAACACCCTTGAGGCCATCGTGATCGGGGAGAACATGCAGACGATCACGGACCAGCTCAAAGGCATCGAGGAAGCGCTGACCGCCACGCTCCAAGCGCACGCCAGCTTACAGTTCCGCAGCGAGCCCCCACCTAAATACCCATCGAGCAAGGAGTACATGAAGAAGCAGGTGATGAGATCAACCACCTAGAGTACCAGGTCACGCCGATCCGCACGCAGCGCGCCATGGAGCTCGCCAAGATCACGTTGGCACCCCCGTGGGACGCGGGCGACCCAAGCACGTGGGTATTCCACGGCTGGACGCCTCCAGCGGAGGGCATTCCAGACTGGGACAAGGACGATCCGAGCACGTGGGTGTTCTACGGTTGGAAGGAGAGGCGCCCATGGATGAACCACCAGAAGGGGCAGAGTAGTGGCGAGAGCGAGAGCAAGGTGAATGCGGAGGAAGTCCCGATCACTGTGAAAGCGGAGGAAGTCCCGGCCACTTCGGACGGGGAGGGGGGGATCTGACCTGCCAGGAGGTTGAGAGTGAGAGATTGAGGCAAGCACCACCAGCGCACAAAGCATGTCAGTGAAGTTTTTATCGTCAGAAGCTGGTGCTGCGCAGACGTGAGTATCACAAGCAGGACCAGAGGACCTGGGAAAAAAATTAAAAAATCGACGGTTCAGTTGGTTCAGATGTGTTGTGAGGTGTACTATACTCGAGGGGGGGGGCCCGTAGCGCCCAACTGGGTGGGCACGATCCCTTAAAGGCGACGGAGCGTGCCCCCCCTCGAGTCTTGCACGTATGTCTGTGGCCTCAGATACAGGGACCACCAACGGTCTGCTGCAGGGGGACGACAGAAGGCAGCACCCACGACCACCCACCCCAGCCCCAGATCTGAGTAGGAGGATTTTTTTTTATTTTGTCTGAGTGAAGTAGGGGGGAAGGCGGAGGAGGAGGAGCGGAGAGAGCGGCCCCCCCACTGGCGCGCGCCCCGCTGGGACGCCACGCTGGGCGGCAGGCGCGCCCCGCAGCCCCTCTCCCCCCCCCGCCTTTCTTCTCGTGTGTGTGTGTGGGAGTGCGTGGGTGTAGAGGTGTTGCGTCCGTTCTCCCCCCCCTCCTTTCACCGAGTGCGTCACCCCTTGCCCTGGGGGCTGGGGCACGGCTCTCGTGATGAGCCCTGCCCCAGCCCCCCCAGCTTTTTCAAAAGAAGAAAGCAACTGCTCCCCGCGCGTGGCCCGCCCCCACGAACCATTCCTGGGGAGCGCGCCTCAGGCAGGCCTAGGCGACCAAGCAATTGGTCCCAGGCCCTTGCTTCAATATCCAACGCAGGGATAACACAAGACCTAGTCCTGCGGTGCCTCGTGCCTGTTGTGGTTAGGATCGAACCCATCCCCGAAGCGCCTTTGCCTTTTTTTGCCTCCTTCCCCTCCATCCTTCTCCTTCCTCCTCCATCCTCCTCCCTCCTCCCTCCCCATCTGTCCTCTTCCTCCTCATCCTCCCCTTCCCGCTTCCTCCTGCTGTTCCCTCCAGGGCGCGCGGACCCCGGGCGCACGTCGGGGGTGCGGGCAGCGGGGCTCCTGGGCCGCGGGTGGGCTGCTGCGGGGGGCGCGTGTCGCCGAGGACGACGCCGACGCCGAAGCAGCAAGGGACCCACAACGCTGACGGCGACGACGACGGTGGCGTCCAGGACAACGCCGACGACAACGACGCCGATGACGATGACGACGACGATTAGAAAGGGCATGTCCTCCTACGGGTGGATTTTGGAAGAAACATGACATATGGTCAAAACAACAATATTCAAAAGAGGACGAAAATTCGTCCCCGATTTTTTGACTATTCTTGAATCTCCCTCCTGTAGAGGGACAGGCCCGACCTAAAACGACGACGACTACGGCGGCGACGGCGACCAAGGCGAAGAAGCGGCGCACGACCATGGCCTCGAGGACGGCGCTGACGATGCCGGCGGCGAGGGCGACGGCAAAATGGCGACGGCGCCGCCGACGACGACGGCGCCGCGGACGAAGACGTTCCTGACGGCGGCTGCGACGACCGCCCCCTTCGACAGAACCTGCCGGAGATGCTGCGGCCCAAGCCGGGCCCTGTCTCGAGCGGGAAGCTGAAGGCGCCACTCTCCCCGCAGCGGGGGCGGCCCGCCCGGCCCGCCGAGGAAGGCCTTCCCGGGCGAGGCAGGGCCTCCGTCCAGTCGAGGCAGAGCCAGAGTTCGAGGAGGAGGAGGAGGAGGAGGAGGAGGAGGAGGAGGAGGAGGGGTTTCGCCTTGCGCGTTCGGCTCGCTCGGCGTCGGCGCACTCGTTGCGTGCTCGGTGCTCGGAGGAGACCAGCGAGCGGCCCGCAGCGGCAGGAGGAGGAGGAGGAGGAGGAGGAGGAGGAGGAGGAGGAGGAGGAGGAGGGGGAGGAGGAGGGAGGAGGACGAGAGTACCCCCCGAGTTGCATGATGCTGCAAGGCGCCCTCCCGTCACGAGTCCCCCTCGCAGATTCCCAAGAGCACCTCCTCACTGCAGAACGTGCCCCCGTCGGAAGACGCGCTGCATCTGCCGTTTGGGCGAGGGCCCCAGCTTGTGAGCATCTGCCCTGCATCCGTTAGGACTCCGCTTAGCCTCCGGAGATGCGATAATGGCAGGCACGGAGGGCGTGCATGCTGATCCCTCTCCGCTTTCCCCATACCCCTCTGACCCTCAGCCTCTGCCTCTCCCTCCCCTCGTCTTTCCTTCTGTTCATCCTCCTGTCCCTCCCCTTGCCTCCTCCTCCTCCTGTGCTTCATCCTCCTCCTCTTCTTTCCTTGTCTTCATCCTCCGCATCCCTTTCCCTCCTCTCCGTCTTGCTTCCTTTCCTGAACCTGCCCTCCCCTCCACTCCTCTCTCCCGAGGATGCAAAAAGAAGTGGCGCAGATCCACCGCTCTGGCGTATGCTTCAAGGGCGAAGGGGGTCTGCGTTCACGGCATCGCCATGCCCCAAGCTGGGCGTCATCTTTGGGACTCCGCAGCAGATCGAATGTGGCTCGAAGACGCGTCCTTACACAGTAACTTTCGCCTCGCCTTAGAATCACCGGAGTCTTTGAGTAGCTGAGCGTCCAGTCCCAGAGCAACACCCAATTTACGAAGCGTACTGGCATGATGATGTCTTTGCTGCTACGCTGTTGCCGGCGCCTGAGCGCACGGAGGAAACGAAGCGTGTCAATGTTTCTATTCGTGTTCAGTGTCCGGCAACGCGTGCAAGTAGAATTGACGCCCATCAGTGCCTACGTTTGCAGCTTTCCGCCTGCGTGGTTGCGACGATTCTTCGACTCGTAGATTCGTGGGACATAGCATTCATGCGTTGTGCTCGGATATCGTCTCGACCTTCTTTTGTGTTTTGCGTGCGTGGCACCATAGGAATGTAGAGCCTGTGCCGGCGACAACGCAGCATTCGTGTAGTCTCGTTCTTTCTCTCTCTCTCTATTAACTAAACGTGTCTTTTCTTCCCGCGCCATATCCCTCTCATCATCTCATCTCATCTCATCTCATCTCATCCCATCCCATCTCATCTCATCATCATCATCATCACCATCATCATCATCATCATCATCGTCATCACACTCAGCATCATCATCATCATCGTCATCATCATCACTCTCATCATCATCATCATCATCATCATCATCATCATCATCATCATCATCATCATCATCATCATCATCGGCATCATCATCATCATCATCATCATAATCATCATCACCATCATCAGCATCTCTCTCCCACACAGCATTATCTCTCCCTAAATTATATCTAGCAGTCTGTCTGCCTATCTCTCTCTAGTTGCCTCTGTCTCCTTCCCTGCCTGTCCCTGTCCATGTCAATCCTTCTCTCCCGCCCAGAGGTCCGGGGCCAATGCATAACATCTTTGACCGTGAAACCTCGGGCATGGATCCCCCCTCTCTCTCTCTCGAAGAAGAAGAAGAAGATGAAGACGAATAATAATAAGAAGAAGGAGAAGCCGTAAACACATTAACTCAGCACATATCGGTTAGCCAGCGTGGACCCCAGACAGTGGTTTCCTACAGTGCATATGCGGTGCAATCTAGTTGGTGCAATCCATGTGGTGCAATCTAGGTGGTGCACTCCGTGTGGTGCAGCCTACGTGATGCACAGTCAGACACAGCAAAACAACGCAAAGCAAGGGAACGCAAAGCAACGCAGTGCGATTGCAAATCATCTCATAGTAACGCAGAGCAGCGCAGAGTAAGACAAAGAAATGCAAAGTCATGCAAAGCAATGCGGCGACGAGGCGGCTGGTGGCGACGATGCGGCGACAACGGCGGCGACGGCGGCCACACGGCGGCTGGACGGCCACCCGGGCCCAGACGACGGGCGGCGGCGAGGCGGCGACGGGACGGCGACGGGGCAACCACAAGGCGGCGGACCCGACGCGCAGGCCCAGACGGCGGGCGGCGACGAGGCGGCGCCGGAGCGGCGGCGGCGGCCACACAGCCGCCGCCCAGCCTGACGCGCAGGCCCAGTTCCTCCTCGGGAAACGAGTAAACGAAAGCCCAAGACAGTGCAGGCACTGCTGGGGGAATGCCGATGGTCCGCGCACAATGTCCGGGGCCGGCGTTGCCCTGGGCGCGCTGCGCGCGCCCGCGCGGACCCGGGCCACCCGCACAGACTCCGAAAGAGATCGTGTGTTCAGATGTTGCCCCTTCTGTTGGTCATCTCAACGGCGAGCGAAAGGGGGAAGCGAGAAGGCGAGGGCTCTCTCAGAAGGCGGCGCTGCTTCTCAGAAGCCCTCCAGGCCTTCCGAGAAGTCTTCTGTGTCTTCGAGGAAACCCGGGAACACTTTTCGGAAGGCCGGGGGACTTCTGCACCGTCTAAGAAGGCCCGATTCTTCTCACGTTCCCCCCCGGCTCGCCGCCGATCTTCCTCCTTCTCGGCCGCATGCCCCCTTCGCTCCTGGGCTGCTCCCAGGCCGACAGCAGGTCTGCACCGACGTCAACAGCATGACGCACATTTCGAGCCGATCCGAACTCGAGATTCGACGCTGACTGTTCCTCGTCCGCGAAGTGACAGTGGCAGTGCCGAAACGCGCCCAGCGTCCAGCAAGGCATGAGGGTTCAAACCCGACTTGTCTGGCTGATGCTCTGGGGGGGCCCGTGCTCAGGGGAGGCTGCAGCACCGCTCAACGATGTGCTGTCAACCAAACCTGCGGCTTCGGCGTCAGCTGTGGGTGCACCGTGAAGCGCCTGCGGGTCAGCTCACCCGAGTCGGATTTGCCGCTCGTGCGGGTGCTCCCCCCCTCTGATCCTCGTCCGACTCGGGGTCCCATGTCCCCACCCCCGCTCCCAGCTCCGCTTCGCCTTGTGCGCCTTCGCCCGATGAGCGGCCAGCCGACCTGTTGTGTCGTCGTCGTCGTCGCCGTCGTCGTCGTCGTCGTCGTCGTCGTCGCCGTCTGCATGCGGAGAGCGCGCTCGTCTCGCCCCGCCCTCTCTCCCAGGGGTGCCCCCCAGGCGGTGCGGCGTGACGGGTCGTGC